CCGAGTTTAAAGTGTCTCTTGATTCGCCACCTGCAGTGTCTTCGTCTCCTGAGCCGCCACCTGCAGTGTATTCGTCTCCTCAAGAGTCTACGTCCCCTCAAGAGTCTACGTCCCCACAAGAGTCTACGTCCCCATCTCCAGAGTCCCATATGTCCCCATCTCCAGAGTCCCATGTGTCCCCATCTCCAGAGTCCCATGTGTCCCCATCTCAGGAGCCCCATGTGTCCCCATCTCCAGAGTCCCATGTGTCCCCATCTCAGGAGCCCCATGTGTCCCCGTCTCCAGAGTCCTTTCCTCGTCCTCCTTTAGGGTCCCCTCTTCGTCCTCCTCCTCTGAAGTCCCTTCCTCGTCCTCCTTTAGGGTCCCCTCTTCGTCCTCCTCCTCTGAAGTCACTTCCACGTCCTCCTTTAGGGTCCCCTCTTCGTCCTCCTCCTCTGAAGTCCCTTCCTCATTCACACAGTCTCTGTGGCGCAATCGGTTAGCGCGTTCGGCTGTTAACCGAAAGGTTGGTGGTTCAAGCCCACCCAGGGACGAACATTTTCCCCTTTTACTCCACTATACTGTATTGTTCATTTATGATTGAACACATACCCTACATAAAATGTTCAACAAACTGGAACGATGCGGAGCTTTTGGTCTTTACATCACCTGATAGTTCACGTGGCATTGTGAAGAACAAACACCGTTTGGAACGGCTTGTGAAAAATAACTTAAGGAGTGTTGCTTCAACAACAAAAAGCAAGTTATGTTCAAGCTAAAAGGAAGCCAGTGGCAGCGAAGACACTGTCCCCAAACACACACTTTATTCCACCATCACATAATCTTTGTGAAAACACATGACTGCACCACAGACTCATCACTTATACATGACCAAAGGCTACCTGGTGCTGCCTCAGCTATACAGCAAAGTAACACCATAGTTATATTCAGAATGTTATGTAAACACAGTGCATCTGAATTTATTAATAACTTCATTGTTATCAACCATGCAGGGTTAACATGAGACAAGCAACTACATCTGGATCAACACACTTCCTAACTTGTTTATGTATATGTGTTTAAATAAAGCTACAGCACACGGGTCACTCATCAGCGCCCGTTTTACTGTAACATGAATCAACAAGCTCCACCTGAGCCCTGATCCTGAGGACTATAGCTCAGTGGTTCTGGAACTTCGTCCTCAGGAAAACAGAGGTAAAGATCTCTGACTTTTGCAATGAAGCTCAGCTGATCTAGGAGACATGAGGATCCATGATTAGAATGAAGCATTGGATCACAGAAGTCTTCTTCATCTTCTCTGACCCATCCCTATTCACAACTCCTGAGTCGATGTTTACTGCTGTATAGTATTTTTTGCTAGGACAGTCACTCTGAAACACACCTACATACAGATTTTAAAAGACAAAAACTGACAGATTTGGACTTAAATTTATTGCCACATATATGGCCTTTTGTGTTCTATGCTGATGCTATGTTGAAGTCTGGCCAGCAGATGTCACTCATTTTATTGGGTTCAAATGGTTCACAACACTGAATTATTTCAAACCATTTGTTTCTTCAACGGGGAGTAATACTGCTTTTCATTACTTATTTTTTATACGAAAAGTCAGAGTTCTGAGATTAAAGTCAGAATTCTGAGGGGAAAAAAGCCAGAATTCTGATAAAAAAAGTCTGAGTTCTGAGATTAAAGTCAGAATTCTGAGGGAAAAAAAGCCAGAATTCTGATATTTTGTATAAAAAAATTAAATATGGAAAAACAGTATTACTCCCCGTCGGGGAATTGAACCCCGGTCTCCCGCGTGACAGGCGGGGATACTCACCACTATACTAACGAGGACTGGGTGTCTTGAGGTCAGAATTCAGATTTTTCGTCTCAGAATTCTGACTTCAATCTCAGAATCCTAACTTAGTAAACATGAGAAGAAAAAGTCTGAATTCTGAGAATACTTTTCTTTCATTTCAGTGGCCCTAATCCGCTTCCATAGTCATTAACGTGGCAGTGTGTAGTTTCCCTGGAGATAGGGGGCAGTACCAAACTAAATGATTATAAGCAAGTATTGTTTTTGTGTTCAAGTAAGACCATACCAACAGCTGGTCATTAGGGTCAAACATCCCTGGGAGTGTAACCTCCAGCAGAATAACAAGAACATCAGACACCCTTTTATCACTGGCAACGAGTGAAGAGGGTGTCTAACCCTAACCCTAACTCTAACCCTTGATTCTCCGACAGGGAGTAATACTGCTTTTAGTTTGTTTTTTTTTTATACAAAAAGTCAGAGTTCTGAGATTAGTCAGAATTTGAGGGACAAAAAGCCAGAATTCTGAGAAAAAAGTCTGAGTTCTGAGATTAAAGTCAGAATTCTAATATTTTGTATAAAAAGTAAATATGGAAAAACAGTATTACTCCCCGTCGGGGAATTGAACCCCGGTCTCCCGCGTGACAGGCGGGGATACTCACCACTATACTAACGAGGACTGAGTGCCATATGGTCAGAATTCAGATTTTCCGTCTCAGAATTCTGACTTCAATCTCAGAATCCTAACTATAATAAGCCTGAGAAGAAAAAGTCTGAATTCTGAGAATACTTTTCTTTCATTTCAGTGGCCCTAATCCGCTTCCATAGTCATTAACGTGGCAGTGTGTAGTTTCCCTGGAGATAGGGGGCAGTACCAAACTAAATGATTATAAGCAAGCATTATTTTTATGTTCAAGTAAGACCATACTAACAGCTGGTCATTAGGGTCAAACATCCCTGGGAGTGTAACCTCCAGCAAAATAACAAGAACATCAGACACCCTTTTATCACTGGCAACGAGTGAAGAGGGTGTCTAACCCTAACCCTAACTCTAACCCTTGATTCTCCGACAGGGAGTAATACTGCTTTTAGTTTGTTTTTTTTTTATACAAAAAGTCAGAGTTCTGAGATTAGTCAGAATTTGAGGGACAAAAAGCCAGAGTTCTGAGAAAAAAGTCTGAGTTCTGAGATTAAAGTCAGAATTCTAATATTTTGTATAAAAAGTAAATATGGAAAAACAGTATTACTCCCCGTCGGGGAATTGAACCCCGGTCTCCCGCGTGACAGGCGGGGATACTCACCACTATACTAACGAGGACTGAGTGCCATATGGTCAGAATTCAGATTTTTCATCTCAGAATTCTGACTTCAATCTCAGAATCCTAACTATAATAAGCCTGAGAAGAAAAAGTCTGAATTCTGAGAATACTTTTCTTTCATTTCAGTGGCCCTAATCCGCTTCCATAGTCATTAACGTGGCAGTGTGTAGTTTTCCTGGAGATAGGGGGCAGTACCAAACTAAATGATTATAAGCAAGCATTGTTGTTGTGTTCAAGTAAGACCATACCAACAGCTGGCCATTAGGGTCAAACATCCCTGGGAGTGTAACCTCAAGCAAAATAACAAGAACATCAGACACCCTTTTATCACTGGCAACGAGTGAAGAGGGTGTCTAACCCTAACCCTAACTCTAACCCTTGATTCTCCGACAGGGAGTAATACTGCTTTTAGTTTGGTTTTTTTTGTACAAAAAGTCTGAGTTCTGAGATTAAAGTCAGAATTCTAATATTTTGTATAAAAAGTAAATATGGAAAAACAGTATTACTCCCCGTCGGGGAATTGAACCCCGGTCTCCCGCGTGACAGGCGGGGATACTCACCACTATACTAACGAGGACTGAGTGCCATATGGTCAGAATTCAGATTTTTCATCTCAGAATTCTGACTTCAATCTCAGAATCCTAACTATAATAAGCCTGAGAAGAAAAAGTCTGAATTCTGAGAATACTTTTCTTTCATTTCAGTGGCCCTAATCCGCTTCCATAGTCATTAACGTGGCAGTGTGTAGTTTTCCTGGAGATAGGGGGCAGTACCAAACTAAATGATTATAAGCAAGCATTATTTTTGTGTTCAAGTAAGACCATACCAACAGCTGGCCATTAGGGTCAAACATCCCTGGGAGTGTAACCTCAAGCAAAATAACAAGAACATCAGACACCCTTTTATCACTGGCAACGAGTGAAGAGGGTGTCTAACCCTAACCCTAACCCTTGATTCTCCGACAGGGAGTAATACTGCTTTTAGTTTGTTTTTTTTTATACAAAAAGTCAGAGTTCTGAGATTAGTCAGAATTTGAGGGACAAAAAGCCAGAATTCTGAGAAAAAAGTCTGAGTTCTGAGATTAAAGTCAGAATTCTGATATTTTGTATAAAAAGTAAATATGGAAAAAAAGTGCTACTCCCTGTCGGGGAATTGAACCACGGTCTCCCGCGTGACAGACGGGGATAACCACCACTATACTAACAAGGACTGAGTGAATACAGATTTTTGTCTCAGAATTCTGATTACAATCTCAGAATCCTTACTATAATAATCATGAGAAGAAAAAGTCAGAATTCTGAGAATACCTTTCTTTCATTTCAGTGGCCCTAATCCGCTTTTATAGTCATTAAAGTGACAGTGTGTAGTTTCCCTGGCAATAGGGGGCAGTATCAAACTAAATGATTGTAAGCAAGTATTATTTTTGTGTTCAAGTAAGACCTTATCAACAGATGGTCATTAGGGTCAAACATCCCTGGGAGTGTAACCTCCAGCAAAGTAAGAACATCAGATACCCTTTTATCACTGGCAACGAGTGAAGAGCGTGTCTAACCCTAATCCTTGATTCTCCGACTGAAGTTATTTATTTGTTCATACAAAAAGTCAGAGTTCTGAGATTAGTCAGAATTTGAGGGACAAAATGACAGAATTCTGAGAAAAAAGTCTGAGTTCTGAGATTAAAGTCAGAATTCTGATATTTTGTATAAAAAAAGTAAATATGGAAAAACAGTATTATAGTATAATAGAAATAAAAATATGTCAACATGTGTTACATTTTGAGTAACAAAGACCTCTTGAGGTGAGTCTTCACACATCATTATATTGCTCAGATCAACAGCAACTTTCAT